CCATGAAGACCAACCTTGGAAAATTAAACAAAGCTACCACTCTCCTGCAACATTGAAGCCCGTAGCTGCTCCACCATTCAGTCACTGAGGCTGGCGTGTCCCACCTTGTTCCAGGGTGAAATCTCCTCGACTGCTTACTCCGCGCTCAATGGTCCTAGAATCCAGCACCTCTCTTGCTTTCTATGGTTCCCTATTCATTAAGCGAGTTTAGACCTCTCTCGGAAGCAAAATATGGTAGTTCTGTGGCACCACTAACATTGAGGGATATCGAAGGAGAAAGGAAGAGCATTGATCGTGAGACAACAACAAATGGTCTAAGCTACCTGGCCTTGAACTTTATTATCAGGTTTGCTTCTGGTGCACTTAGTAAACCCTGCCGATTCACCAGGACCGAATGTCCAGGCTCGAAAACACATATGTCACTGCCGCTTATTTCATTATTACTTTTTTCGTACTTAATCCTACGTAGCTTTGCGCATAAATTTAAGTGCACTTACCAGCTGTTCTCTGAATCCTTCAGCCGGCCTATGAGTGACCGCCAACTTCGGGCAATCAAATCCAGGCCCGGATCTGACAGGAGATCTCGAGTGTACACCAGCGATGCCGCCAAATATCTACTCGCTAGAGCACAGTCAAATCCTGAAACTGTTTAGCACAGGAAAGAAAATTGAACAGAGCAAATATATTTGTGTGAACACGCGTGCAAATACTGCAAAACATTGTAATTCGGTACTCTCTCTCTTCATCTACCTCAGTCATTCTCATCGGTCTAATCATGGCCAATGCGTACGTGGTCTTGAAGGCCTGCCAGATCGCACTTTTAGAACTTTGGATCCGCATCCGTAAGTCATCCTGAGAAGTCCGCAAAGCTTCCAATAATGAGATAATAACGACTATTGGACCTCCTGAGCTGTGAGAGAGCTGGAGCAAGCGATGAAATGGGCACACTTGCTGAGATTTTCAACAAAGACGTAGGTGCTCTCCAGACCCTTGACTTTTGGGAGTCCAAAAATAAACTTCAGTCAGATCAGTCCTCATCCATTCAGGAACTGGAAAGGTTTGTAAATAGTCAGCTTTGGAGATATTGCGTGGCTTCAATCTGCTCACAGTAAGAGCACGACAAGACATACTTCTCTGGTGTGGGAAGCACTCTAGGTCACTCAAAGACTGTGAAAGCTATTTCACTTTAGTGTGAACCCCACCATGGTCAGAATGAGCATAGTCATATGCTCAGCACACAAATGCACACTGGATCAAAGCCAGAATACCGGCAAGGGAGCTCCTGCTTTGCTTTGAGCCAGAGAAAATTACACCCAACGTGGTAGTGCTTTACCCTCCCGCAACTTTAAATCTGGCAGTAGCAGCGAAATGATGGGTGTCAAATGCATACGATGCACGGAATGTCAATAAAAAGTGTGAATCATCGCAGACAAGAAGCGTAACGCTGGACAATACTGAAGCTTTGACACGTCATGAGAACGCTTCCGTGTCCAAGTTGGTAAGGGCCTAGATATACCGCTTTGTAGAGTCGACTGCGAGAGATGCCTAAGCCATCAATGACTCTAAAATAATGCGTGTCCCGAAAGTCTTTTTGAGGTGTATCAAAGACTGCTGGTCGCTTAATACACCAGAATGAGATTCGTACAAATAGCGTTGGCATTCTTTCAACGTCCCAACACTCCGCATAGACTTCCGCTTCCTGCAATAGATACAGCTGCTCAGGTATGGTAACGAGATTAGATTAAAAAGCAATACTTTCTTCTTTTGGAGAGCCTTTACGCCTTTGGGAGAAAATAGCCCCTTTGCTACACCACTTGCAGAGGTTGTAAAAAGAAATTGCGCGCTCATGATCGGGGGATGTTAGCACCGGAGAAGTTGCAAAGAGCTGACAAACGTGCTTGCTGCGACATTGACCGCTATGTAGACGTCACAGACAAAGTCTTCTATAGTGAATCAGTCTATGAGCAGTACTTAGAGTAATCCAGTAAATGGAATATGAGTAATAAGATGCGAAGCCATAGAACTTCGCAACCTCTTTGTGGGTGCGTAAAACGCCACTCCTTTGTTGCCCGAACTCTTGCCGGATCTGTCGATTCCTGCAACATAGTCCCAGAGTTCCAAAAGCACGATCTTGCACACGAGCCTGCGCACATGTGTGCCTTCTTGTAGCACTGCTTGTACCGCAACAGCTGAAGCGCGCCCCTTAGCCCCAGTGAGTGCCCTTGAACCGTCAGGTGATCACTAAGACTTTGTCCATGTAATCAACCATTCACCCCTCCTTGTTATGCTCACTTATCTCCTCAGTAGCTCACTGTTGCAGCTCAGCGGGAACATCTACAGGTTCAAGCGGCATACAGCTATAGCCGAATTTGCGAGTGCCAATTTAGAACACCGTTTCGTGCCTGTCATCCGGGTGAATTGGGATTTGGAAGAGGGCGTGTATGAAGTCAGATGGTGAGTGGACGGTTGTTCTTTGTAGTTTGTCGAGCGATTTGCTAATGTTACACGGCAGGAACTCGTGCTTCACCTTGATGTGGCTCAGAGACTTGAAGCTAACTTACGTGCCCCCCTTCCGTTCTTCAACACCAACATTGGGCTTGCCCAAAGATGCTGGTTCATTTCTCCAATTTTATTTTTCCTACAATTTCTCTGCCTTCAATCATTCTCCTCTTTGCACAATAAGGAATTCCGATTTTGTCGAGTTTAGGTTGGGGCGGAACCAACGATCATCTCAATAAGGTGAGCTTGGCGACCAGCAAGTGGCCAGCCTTCAGGGAGCTTGTCTGTTTTGCAAAGTTGCAAAATCCCCCTTGGCATTTGTGCCTTCCTACAGGATCTCGCCTAGCCAATCAACATAATTCCTTATTGAGGAGTCTGTTGCAGGGCTACCTAGGTGGGACGCATGCTCAGAACAGCCTTCTCTCACTGCTCTGCTGGCCAGCCCGCAAGAAGGCTCTGCCACACCGTATTGAGGTACTACCAAGATCACTGTACAGGAAACTGGCTTTGCTGGGGAGAAATGAATGTGGTCCTTCTGCTAGCGATGTAGCAGAGTTCACACACTTACCAAGAAAGGGCTTTCTCCTTCTAAGCCACCTAGGTACATCTGTCCCGCGTGTATGCATCGTTGCAACCCACAGAGGATGTTTCTCCAGCCATGTCAACTTGCAGGAGCTTATATGGACTAAGAAGAATTAAAGAATTTGGACGCACTTTATGAGACTGAGCCTTTATCGCAGTAGCCCCATTTGCAAATTCGCCTTGCTTATTCCCACCAATCACGTTTGACTCTTGTGCTTATCCCTTCAGTTTAGACTCCATGGCGTTCAATCACGGAGTTCCGCGTGTGCATGCTATATTCAAGTAGAAATGGATACACGGCAAATATATTTGAGACAGTAAATCGTCATGGTAACCATTACCACGAATTGCCCTTCACTTTCCCCATTATCGTTTCTATCGACACTAAGAGAATTTTGCTACAGGCCGCCGCGCAATGCGGCACCTTCCTCTCTCGGCTTCATGCTGTGTACCCACCGACCACCAGTACCAATGTGTACCTCCTTATGTAAAAGACCTGCCGTTGCAGTATATAAACCTGGATTATGATCTGGCCTGAAGTCTGGGAAGCGGTGAAACTCAAACACTGCACTACGCAACACGAGGTACTCTGTATCAGGAGGTAAATCCAAAGCGTCGTTGGAAAGACAAAAACGCCTAGGTATGGGATGAACTTAAACTTTTGTTCAGCTGGATAGAATTGGGTGCCCACGCATACTCGGTACGCTATGAGCGATGGGACAAGACGCCGACTGGCCGCTTGAAGAAGTAGGATAGGCTCCACCAACCTTTCCAGCAAGATGGTCGCTGGACATGCTAGTGCTCCAAAGCCAAGCCACGCTTACTGTCCAAATAGTTTCCCCGAATCCATCAGTACGATGGACTTGGAAGAAACAGGCGATGCTACGTGCCCCCTCAGCTTGCGACACAGCACAAGGGGGAACTGCGTCTGGGGGCTCTAGCGCCCCTAAGGCCCCACCCCAGACACGAAAACTACTGCACTTGCCAGCTACAAACATAGCCTCCTCGCGAGCTCCCACTGAAACGTGTTTGTTTACGTGGTGGTTCAATCCAGAGGACTATGAGAGCACAAGCTGCTGCCTTCAGCAGCCCCATCTCTGTGCCACTCAGTTCCCCTTCCTACTATCTCCCACTTAAACACAGTCTCCCCTGTGTATCCGAGGAGAAGGTGGCACGAATGATGACGAAGGCACGCAATCTAAGGGGAAAGAATGGGCCACGCGGTAAGCAACATCAGGCTACAAGCGTTGAAGCTGCAGCTATGCCGTCATGCCCATGGATGGGGCAATCAGCTATGATGGAATCGGAATACGAGAACGGATAGAGAAATGGACGGTAGAGAGATACTGGCGCATGCGGGCCTTAATAATGCATATAAGAAAGCAACAACCTGATTAGGCTGAGGCAATAAGCTATACATTCCACATTCATAGCGGCGAAGGAATTGCTGCCGCTGCACGCACACAGAACCCGCTTCAGACATACATTCGCTTCGCCTGTCAGCGGCACACACAACAGCCAAGATCCGCATACACCCGGGACAGAGTAGCTGCTCCCTCTCAGCTGGGATGTACGGTGCAGAGACAAATGCACGAGCACCGAATTCCAATAAAGAGATTACTCAGAAGAAATAACGAGAGGCAAAACAAACTACAGGACCGACCACAAACTGCACGACCACCCGCAAAATGCGCCTCCTTGAAACCACTAGACATAACTCGGATGAAATTCCCCAGCCGAGCCGGGGCTTTGAATGGACGGCAGAGCGTAAGAAGGTTCAGACAGAGGGTCTCCTCTTTTCTCCCGAGGTGCAGAAAGAGGAGCGAGACTGAACGAACGGATCTTCTTGAGAGAGATGACGGAGGAATGCGTCAACAGCGGTTGCTACCGCAGACGCCTAAGCCACGGAAGCAAAAGGCTTAGCTAAACCCGCTCCCCGCAGGGAGCAGCGTGAACGGAGAAGGAGTATCCACAGAGTCCAGATGCCCACGCGTCGCCAGTGCGAGCGGTGGGGGGGCCCGCGAGGCGGCAAGGGCATCATCGAGGGCTCCGAGAGCATCAAGAATGAGCTGCTGAACGTCTTCGGATTGCTTGCTGGGAACCAGGCCCAGCCGAATACTGCGAGAAAATAAGCGAAGGAAGGGCCGCAGCTCCGCTTTGCTGCAGCTGCGGGCAGCCAGGGCTTTCAGTCGACCGACCATCGGCGCAAACTGCAGGCGCTCCAGGCTCATAGAACCGCCTTCCCGAGGCTGGGATCCCACTTCCAAAATGCAGTTCTCCAGCACGTCCTCTAAAATCACACACACTGCGCGGCGCCATGGCTGGAGATCTACGCCGTCTTCCGCCAGGGGGCCCTCGAAGGATTCTCTCTCAGCACCGAAAACAGGGCCCCCAGGCGTCCCATTGCAAGACTCCCCACCAGAGCGCGTGGACTGTGTCAGAGGGCTTGTTACCCAATTCGTCAGTCCGATAACGCCCCCCCCACGAGCAGCTGCATCTGCTGCTGCTGTTGACAAGGACCGGTTCTCGTCGGCGAGGAAGCGCGTCAAGGTATTCAAACCCTCCACAAAGCCCTGATCTGCGGGCGCCTCTCCCCAGGACTGCTTGGCAGACAAAGGAGACACTTCCCTCATCCCCAGAACAGATGCGATGTCATGAGAGGAGGCCCCCTCTTTTGAGCCAGAAAGCGCTCTCAGTTCTGACCCCCGTACGGCCCCCCCACGGGCGCCCCCCAAGCGGCCCGCCGAATTCGCCACAAGGCGCAAAAGGCCACTCTCGAGGTCGGTGGTGCCACCACGATCCTTTCCCTGTTGCTGTTGTTGTTGCTGTGCCGTGTGCAACAAGGGCCCCGTGGTGACTTCTTCTTGTCGCTCCTGCCGGTACTGCACGAGGGCCTTGAAGGTTTGCATCATGAGGGCCGAATCCTGCTGCTCCGTGCTCTGCTGCTGCAACCGCATGGCCACCTGCAGCAACAGCTGCATTTTCAGGTCCAACTCTGAAAGTGAATGCTCGCCGGAAATCCCTTTCTCTGGTTCTGACTTAATGAGGGCCTCCTCGAGCTCGCGGCGTGTGAGAAGGGCAGCTTTTTGAGGTGGGGGACCGGCTGGGGAAAGAGCAGGGGAACAGGCGGGAGGAGGCCCTTGCTCGCTCTCAGCCCACACAGGACTCGCAGTCTTGCTGGTACTGGCACTGTGGGAAGTTGGCAGCTGTAAGTGCTGCTGGAGCAGCGCCCACTGAGAAGCAGTTAGCTGCTGATGGGAGTCAACAAGCTGCTGCTGCTGCTGTTGCTGCTGTTGCCGCTGCGATGGAGTTGAGCACAGCTTCTTCGACGGCGAGCCTCTTAGCTCCATTCCACGAGTGGCATCTTCGACAAGCGTCTTGGAAACCCCCTGCACACCACCCTGGCGTTTGGTTCTTGGGCCCTGTCGCGCACTGGGGTCTGCTGCCGCTGCTGCTGCTGGGGCCCCCTTGGTAGTCGAACTGGGGCTGCTGCTGCGAGTTCTCTGTGCAGCAGCAGCCGCGCCAGCTTTCCCTCTTGGCACTCTGACATGCGAGCCTTTCCCGTACATTTGCAGCGCTGCTGCGAGCTCTGCCGCCTCCGCGTCCATCTCAAGGGCCTCCACTGGGCCTTCGGCTGGGGCAGTGCCAATTAGGCCGGGCTGGGGGGTTGCCTGCTTCATGAGTTTTGCGTATTTCATGCGAACTTTCTCCCATCTGCGAACGGCAGACAAAAAGGCACAGCCGGCAAGTTCGCCTTTTGCCCAATAGGACCGTCAAACCGGGCAAAACGAAAAAGAAGCACTCAGGGCGCAGAGCCAGAGAGGGGCGCGAACTAGGAGCCAAAGAAGCTGCCCACCACACCCACGGCTTTTACGCCCTACAAAAAGTCACATTGGGAGTCGCTCCTTCCCCCCCACCCTCCCCGCCTGTGTTGGGAATGTCGCCTTCTCTCTCTCGCTCTCGCTCTCTCTCTCTCTCTTTCTCACCGGAACTGCACGGCTTGCATACGAGCCTCGGAAAATCCCTTGCATGCTTTGATTGAAAAAGTCTTCCACCTCTCTTGGCCCTCTTCGGACCAGCGCGCGATCCAGGCGTTCCGTGAGTGGCAGTATTTGACGCCAGGAAGCCGTGACACCACACGGGAGCCCAGAGGGGGGGCCCTCAGCCCCAGAGGGGGGGGCGCGGGGGCCTCCTCCTCGGAGTGTCGCCGGGTGTGCGCTGCTGCTGCTGCAGCAGCAGCAGCCCGACGTGGAGGACGCGTTCGACGAGCCACTTCTCCTTCCCAGGCATGCGAGGCCTGGGGGCCCTGTCTCCCTTCTGCACTGTAAAGCGATTCATGCGTTGCTGCAGTGCTGTTGCGCTCTACTCCTGTTGAGGCTTCGAGAGAGGGAGGAGGAGCAGCGGCGACGCAATTCCTCGAGGGCTTCAGAGGCAGCAGGAAGCCGCACTCCGTTGAGCTGTTGTGATCTTCGGAGAGGCCTGAAGTTGAACCCGCAGGCGTGGGGGCCTCCTCGAAGCGAGCCGAAGGCAGTGCTTCGCAGAGAGAAGCCTCCGCCGGAACGGCAGAAGAGGAAGCCGCCAGGGAGATGCGTCTGTGCTGCTGGAAGTCTACAGACTTCAGCGCGAGATCCTCAGGATCTGCTCCAGAGGCACTGGAGAGATCAGTTAGTCCCACTGCGCCCTCGGAGTCGCCTAAAAGGCCTCCGGGGCTGTCCCTGTTGTTGACAATCGGGGTATCCAATACAGAGAGTACCTCTGCTGGAAGCGGTGCTGCTGCTGCTGCATGGTATTGCCGTTCAAAGAAAAATTCCTTATCTTCCCCTGCAATGTGCGACTCAACCGCCGAACTCTTCTCGGCTAACTCTCCAGAGCGCTCTTCCACATGCTCCGCAGAGACGTCCCCACTGTGGGAAAGGGGTTCCTCCACGGAAGAGGCCTCGCGAGGCCAAGCTGCCACAGCCTGGGCACTACTTCCCGCGGTGTCGATCCTCATAGCAAGTCAGCTGACAGATCACCAGCCCCCGCGAAGACAACGATGCAGACTGCTTGGGAGCGCAATGCACCCACCCCGACTCCCTGCTACCGTCGCGCAAGCTACGTAGGCTGCTTGAATCGTGTGGCTGCAGGGAAGCCGAGAAAGAGAGAGAAGGACAACTCGGTGCCGGACGGAAGGAGTATGCAGGGGTGATCGATCATACACGGAAATGAGCTGCGCGACTCGCGCGGGGCCCCAAACCTCAATGGGGGTATATTAGGACTTCAGGCGCGGCGCGAAAAACAATGCTTGGGAACTGATAAGGACGATGAAGCGGCTTGATTGAGACGTTCTTCTTTGAGTGTCTGCTGGTGTTGGCGGTAAAAGTGCCTCCCTCAGAGCCGCGCTGCTGGGAACCGTCGGCAAGAGACAGAGCCCTGGAGCGTCGGCGGACAATTAAAAAAGTCGAGGCCAATGAGTGAGCGTCGGGAAGCCGGGCGTTGGAGGAGAGGTGCTAGGTTCCCTCCTCTATCGACCATAAGACACTGCACAGCGGGGCTGCGAGTGGGAGGTACACGGTGTCGGAATGCCCCGTATAGGAGCGGCCTAAGAGCCACCTTGGCGTATCCCGAGGAATACAGAGGCCTCAGAGATACAGGGAGGGGAGGGGGGGCGGAAGTTACGGGCTGGATCAGAGCCCTCACTGCGCCAGTCTCCACCGAGATGCGGATTGTGACTGGCTGGGGATGCGTTTTGCCTCGGCACTGAGCCGCAGAGCGCAGATCCCCTAAATAGAGGGCCCCCGGAACCAGCTGCTCGATGAGAGAAACGCTCCGTCCTGGAGCAGTGCAGCAGCTGACGAGGCGACTGAAGCAGCTGGCAGGACCAGGCGCATCGGGTCTGTCCCTGCTGCTCTGCACCACTCCTAGTGAGTTCTGTGAGAACCCCCAGATTCAACAATCCCACAAAGGCGTCCCCCAAGGCAACAAACCCCAGATGGGCCGAAAAACCACCGAGGAGATGACGCAGGCCCCCACACGCGCTGCGTAGCTGAAGTGCGGGGCGGCCCGGTACTACGGATACCCCCGCGATGCCCCAACAGAAAGCGTTGGAGCCGGGTGTGTGAAAATTGTGAATTCTCTAACTGCTTTTTCCCGAAGCGCTTACCGGGTAGAGTCAGAGAGAGAGCCAGCCGACAGGCAGGAGAGGCTCTGAGAGCAGCACTGAAGCCAGCGCGCCCCCACTATACGGCATGAAACGAACAAGCAGCGCAGCATTGCCGCCTGCTGACGCCTGCAACTCGATGCATCAATTCGCCAAAACAATCCAAAGAATTCCCTAAAGAGGCATACTAGCCGTGGGAAGACGGACCCGCAGCTCCTCTGCTCAAGAGGCGCCCGTCGCTACTGCGCAGTGGCAGCTGCAGGAGGAGAGCCAGCGTTGCTCCTCGGGGAGCTATCACTGCGCGTATTATTCCCGACAACAAAATAATGTCCCTTGATATCGAACGACTGTGCGTATTATTCCTCGCTCGAGCCAACATACCTCCAAAGAGATGTAAAAACCGAGGGTTTGGCCACCTCCGGGCACGAGGCACACGGGGCCCGAGCACTGGCCTGACCCCCCTACTCGGCACGTGTGGCCGTGCATGCGCTCATAAATTTCAGGGACTCCGGAGGCCCTGTCAAATGTAACCCTGAGGAATATCAGCACATTATTCCTGGTTCCAGACGCAAAGAGACACCATGCAGCCGAAGGCACGTCCTCGTGCCCCCTACCGCCGTCGCCCAGTGCACTAGCCAATTGCCGTCTGAGTTGCGGGGGGAAGTCGGGGCATCAACAGTCTGTGTGCTTTGCCAGTAATGCCTCAGACCTCTTGGAATCAGCCCTACATTTTGCTGCTGCCTCTGATAAGTGGCGTGATTAGGCCCTCCAGGTCCCACCCCGAAACAGTGAACCCGTCTGCAACAAGCCAAGCCACGCCATAACACTTTCCACTCGATTATATTTGTCTAGGATTAAGTAGTTTTGACTGATTGGTTTGTCTTTTCTCATATGTTTGGCAGCTCAACTAATTGTGGAGCATTTGGATGCGTGTAGTGTGCCTGCGCCGAACGGTAGGCAATTGTTGTAAGGCTCCATCTCGGGTCTGTCAAGAAAACCACTCAACTCCAGACTAAATACAAACATGATAAAAGGCCATTTAGTGTCCTCCAAAGAACGCCCTGCTGTCTCTTTCCTTTTCCTCAAATGAACTGCTGACATGATGGGAGCAGGATAGCTGGGGTGCACGTCGCTACACCGTCAAAGCACTCCAAGTATCCACAGCTAGTCGCACACAGAATCTAGCGCGCATGAACACGACTCTGTGCGTCGTTTTATTCAACTAAGAGTACTCGACAATAAATAAGATAAGCAAAAGAACCAACTGATCAAATCTTGACAATTTCTGACTTGGAAGAACCAGTGTAGTAGAGAGCGCCCAAGCATAAGTGAACCCTCCACATACTCGCCCACCCTTTTCAATAACACCCATACGCTCCGTATTCGTAAATCGAGACCAACTATGTACTGGACAGACGGGAAGTTCTTTCCCCGTCGCCACACACCAGACATTCAGAAATGCGAAAGAATGCAAATATAGAAAGGCAAAGTGTGCATCAGCTTGCCAAGATAGGACAGAAGAAAATACACAGATATTTCAGCAGCAAAGGGGGCACCAAGCCAACGCGACCTCCGTGGCGCAATGGTTCGCTGTCGTCGGAGCGCTGAAATGTGTGAGCGTTTTACTACGCGAGGTAAGTAAAGGGTTAATAGCATATCAAAAAAACTAGCTCAGCATTGCCATCGTGCCTCATGAGGTACTGGATGTATGCAAATAGCTTCTTCATGCATACCGATCGACTCTTCAATCCCCAAGAGAGGCATCTGGAGGAAGGTAGGAAAGTCATACCTGAAAGAGCCTTTACATCTACACCTTAACAACGCTAACGGGGTAAGTTTCCAGCGAAATGCATATGTGAAGATAGATATTTCGGGCACGGCATGCGTTGGGAGAGAAAAATCGTCAAGGAGCTCCAGGAACACCTTTCATGGACACCGGCATTGAGCAAATTACCCTGCAGGTGGCAAAGTTCGCAGCTGCTCCTCCGTCACGTACGGGAGTTGGCGTTCGTCGCCTCATTTGAATAAAAGCATCCGTCTAATATGACCTCAGGGCTCCGTAGTTCTAAAGTCCAGCACTTATCTTGCTCCCTCTGGATCTGCCGCCCCGACGCCCGTCACTAGTCTGAGCGACGAAACTCGCGATTAACTTGAAGAGTTGTGGAATTTCCTTTAGAAGCTGATGATGATAGTTTTGTGGCGTCATCAACTTCAAAAGGAGTCGAAAGAGTAAGAGAGGGCGTAGACTGCGAGGCAATGGCAAAAGGTGCCAACCGCCTGACCTTTAACTCTCTCGTCAGTCCACCATCTGGTGCAACTAGCAAAGCTTGTTGATTCATATAGACCAAACCACCAGGCTCGAAACATAGCCGACTGGCGTTTATCATACTTAATTTTGTGACCCCCTTAAGCCTTACGCATGCATTTGCGTGCACTACCAAGTTGTTTAGTGGAAATCCTCACTGTAAGGGCGGCTGCTCACTACAGATCGCCTTTTCCTGGCGCGGATCGAGCAGGGGCTCCTCAGTGTAGACCAGGGATGCGCGAGAGCAACGAGTAGACTAGTGTACCGTTGTATTACAAAATCACTCAGCACAAGGAAGAAACTCAAGCAAAGCACTTGGATTTTTGAGGGTATAGAGTCGGATAATACTGCAAAAGGGTGGAGTTTGGGGCATTTATTTTTTTGGCTTCGGATGGTGCGTAGTGGTCTCCTTGTGTTAAATGCGAGGTCAGTCATGGAGGAAAAACACGCTCGAAGTTTGTATACTTTTCCGTTTTTATACTCATGGGAACGCTGAGCTTCTAGTCACGAAGCTAGAATTGTTGAGTGACTTCTGGGCCATGAGAGAGCTGGAGCAACTGGCATCATGGGCATACTTCCTGAGTCTGCCGACAAAGACGTAGGTGCTATCCTGCCCTCTCGATGTCTGATCACCTAACAATAAAGGTGATAGTCAGCAGTTCATATCTCTCCAGGAGTTCGAATAGTTTGCAAAATGCTGGAATGAGGAGCATTGCGTGGCTTCAGCTACTTGCACTTTGCGCATGACAGGTCATACTGCTTCACTGCGGGAAGCACCCCACGCCACCATAAAAACTTTCAAAGCTAGGTGTAGTCTAGT